CATGACCTGAGCCAAAACCAAGAGTCGGCTGGTTAACCGACTACACCACCCAGGCACTCCTAATTATATGCAGTTTACTTTCAAATTCATGTTATTAGTGTGGACTTCTCTCATATATACAACTGCCCACTCCAGGCCTACAAGTATTTCAAGCTTAAACTTATCCCAAACTAAACTTCTGTTCTTCTGCTTCCAAATCCACTCTTTCTATGTGTTCCGATTTCAGTTGAGGGCAGCTTAGTCCTTCCAACTCTTTAGGCCAACAGACTTTTAGCCATTTTTGAATCTGCCAGTAAATCTTGGTTCAAACTTTAAATTATGTTAAAAAACAATCAATTCTCTCCATCTCTAACTACTGTTACACTGGTGAGTGGCCATTCATCCTTCACCTAGTTTTCACTGGTCTCTCTCTGCCTCCCTATAATGTAGTCTATATCTGACATACTAGCTGGGCTGATTTTTGGTCAAACAGTTGGATTTTGTCACTCATGTTCTGTAACCCTCATAATGGCTTCCTAATTTGGAAGGAAGTCAAATTCCTTACAATAACCCAAAAAATCCTACATGATCTGCATGCACTTGTGCTCTGACTTATTCATCTCTGGTTCCTCTCTTCCTCACTCACTCCATTGCAGCCCAGTAGCCAGCTTGCTTTTCTTTGAACATTTAAGTATTCTCTATTTTAGGGTTTTTCACTGGTTATTCTCTTTGCCTGGGACATTCTTCTTTCTAGATAGCTTTATGTTTAACTCTTTCCTTGCTTCAAGTCTTTGCTTAAATTTGACCTCTCAAAGGCTTACCCTATTTAATTTTTTATTCTACTACCCTATTTAAAATGACAACCTACCCTTCCTAGTGCCAGTGGTTCCTCTTAATTTATTCTCTTTATTTAATGCCATTATTCGATTCTGCCATACATATTTCATCTATTTACTATGTATAGTTCATGGTCTGACTCTCAGTAGAATTTGATCACCATAAGATAATGAATTTTGATTATTTTTGTATTTTTGATCACTGATGAATTTTAAGTCTTCAGAAAATGGCTGACATAGAGTAGCAGCTCGGTAGATATTGATTGAACTAATGACTAAAGGATTTTTTTCCTTGTTAGAAAATCTTTGGCATTTATAGTAAATTATGTTCACTATATTTGAAATATTACAATATATGTATAAAGAAAAAACCAATCACAGCAAAATGCATTATCCTAAAACAGTGACACTTTTATCTACTTTTAATTTTCTTTCTATGCATCAATATGTAACTGAGATGGCAGCTGAGAGCACCCCACCCCTCCTCTCCTGGGCTGCTGTGTGCTTTCTTTCCTCCTGCCAGCATCACCCTGGCATGGAACTCAGCACCTGTACAAGTCCCCTTACACATCTGCTCACACAGATGTCAATGCGAACAATGAGGGCTTTACAGAAGGAAGAATGTTAAGGGGGTCATAGCAGAATCTTAAAGTCTCATTAGACATGTCTATTCTCTGATGTTCCTTCTAGGTTTGTTGTCACCAGAAGTTTCTTTCTGACACTTTCCCCTATAGTTCCCAGCCTTGTTGGCTCCAACCTCTTGCTTGCCTCTGGTTAAGTTCAAGTTCTTCTTTCCTTAATTTTGCAAAACAGTTTAGCTCTGCCTCTTTCTGTTGAAACTGATATATCAAAATCCAAGGAAAAGATTAGCAAAAGATAATTTCATTAAAGAAAAAAACCAGTCAGGGGCGCCTGGGTGGCTCAATCATTAAGCGTCTGCTTTCAGTTCAGGTCAAGATCCCGGGGTCCTGGGATTGAGTCCCGCATCGGGCTCCCTGCTCCGCGGGAGGCCTGCTTCTTCCTCTCCCACTTCCTCTGCTTGTGTTCCCTCTCTCATTGTGTCTCTCTCTGTCAAGTAAATAAATAAAATCTTAAAAAAAAAAAGAAAAAAAAACCAATCACAGCAAAAAGCATTGTCCTGAAGCAGTCACAGTTTATCTACTTTTAAATCTGTGCATCTGCATGTAACTGAGATGGTGGCCAAGACTACCTCACCTCTCCTCTCCTGCACTGCTATGTGTTCATGCTCTTCAGAAGGTAAATGGTTGTTTTTTGTTTTTGTTTTTTTAAAGATTTTATTTATTTATTTGAGAGAGAGAGAGAGAGATAGCGAGAGAGAGCATAAGCAGGGGTAGGGACAGAGTGAGAAGGAGAAGCAGACTCCCTGCTGAGCGGAGAGCCCGGACATGGGGCTCAATCCCAGGACCCTGAGATCATGACCTGAACTGAAGGCAGATGCTTAACAGACTGAGCCACCCAGGCGCCCTATCCCCTGGTTTTATAAAATCTTTTGCTTGCAATTTCTCTTTAAAATTTATAAAAATAATTTTCTGATATCAAGTATTTTTTTAAGTGTGATATTTTTTAATGCAGTATGTGGCATAATTTATTTTACCGAAGTCCTACTGTTGGACATGTATCTATTTACTTAATCTGACAGTGTTTGATATAAACAGGGGAGGTTTTCTATTTGCTTTATCTCAACTAATATCTGATCTTATGTTATCTTGTTATGTAATTTATTGTTTTTAATGGTTTCTTATTGTTTTCCTTTTTTTTTTTATCTTTTGCTATATGGACTACTTTGCTTTCTTCTCTCAATTTAGAAGGCATAAACTTTTTTATTTTAGTAATACTGGTTTTTAGGTAACTATAATATAACTATTATTTTCCTTGAATATTTGTGTCTAAGCATGTATTAACAACCTCCATATATCATGATAAATTCAACTGGCCTTTCTTCTTCCATATTTTCCTAATTTCATTTCTAGTTTTTGTTTGTACTATGACTTCTCTGTTCTTAAGTTCTTTGTTTTTTGTTCTTTTCTCATTTTGTTGAATTACTTCTTCAAATACTTTGTATTAAGTGTACGTGTTATACTATACTTTCTGGTTGCTTGAACATCTAAAAATATCTTTTTTTGTCCTCATAGTTGAATGCAAATTTAGTCTTGTACAGATTATTTTATCACATTATTCTCTCTGCAAAACTCAGAGCATATTGTTCTACTTTCTGATCTTAAGAATAAGTTCAATGAAGTTTGGGGATACAGATGTCCTGTATCATACCCACAATTTGGAGGGGGAAGAATGTGCCACTGTTAAAATGTGGTGAAATTTTCAAAAATACAGGTAGAAAGGGATGTAAAAAGATAAATCATGTTTTTGTCTGCTATGTGGCAAAGTGAACACTGGAATATTTTTAGCCAGAAAGAAAATGAAAATAACACAACTGATTCTGGTACTTCTATCTCACCTTCTCTGTCCTGCGTATGTCCTGCCTACATGCCTGTTTAAGCATACTTGCTTGTTTATGATGACACTGTACAATGTTATCATGTAAGACACATTAAAATCTCCTAAATCTCAGCTGTGATCAGGTGACATTTATTTCTTGACCATAAAATGAGCATTATTTCAGTGTTTTAGTTCTTAAGATAATATTCCTATAAAATTGTGCAAATTTAAAATAGAATTATAAAGACTGGAATGCTGTATGACATTGGTAGCTAGATTCTTTTGGGCTTATTTAGTTGTTTCTGGCAGAAATATTGATGTACAAATAAATGACAGCTGTCAGTTCATGCAAGATAGCTGGATTAAATGCCAAAATTTGTTTAAAACAAACTTCTTAAATTTCATTGTTGTTGAAGAGACAAATGGAAAAATTCAAAGAAGTTATAATGAATGTCAAATAAATCAAAGTTAATTTAAATAAGATCTGTGCTAATATTTATGGTATCTACATAAATTTGAATTTTAATGGTGATTTAGAAAACCCACCTTTTGGATTGAACAATGATAAGGCTTTGTAAGGAATAAGAGAATTCCAAAATACTCTGAATTAAAAAAAAAATTATCTGACACTAAGCATTTGAAATTTGGGCATTTTGTTTCCCAAAATTTGTGTGAAGAAGGCAAAGATGTAGCATGTAAGAAATGATATTGTTTGTTGAAAACACATTGAATTGTATATCATCATGGGTTATATGAAATAATGTTTCAAAAATGTAACTTGGCTAATAATTGGAGTGATTTGCTGAAACTTGCTTTCAGATTCACATGTTATCTTTTCCTTGAAACTTCTGCATTGTATGTTAAGAGCTGGGGCTTTTGCTCTAAGGGTGCCAAAGTAAGAGTATAGCTATTCCCCACTTCCTGTTCAAAAGTAGGAGCATTGACTAGAGACTAAACCATGGAGGAGGGTAAAGAGGAATTATGTAAAAGCAAAAATCCCCAAACCAAACAAAAAAGCAAACATCAAAACTAATATTTCAAAGTTATAAATAATAAAACAAACATTTTTAGATTAAACATTTTGTGAGACTAGTTATGAACCTTTTTTTTTTTAAAGGTTTTATTATTTGACAGAGAGAGACACAGCGAGAGAGGGAACACAGGCAGGGGGAGTGGGAGAGGGAGAAGCAGGCTTCCCATGGAGCAGGGAGCCCGATGAGGGGCTCAATCCCAGGACCCTGGGATCATGACCTGAGCCAAAGGCAGACGCTTAACGACTGAGCCACGCGTGCGCCCCTATAAACCATGTTTTATAATATAAAAGCACTCTCCCCAATCTCTATTCCATTGCCAGTTTTATATGGCAGCCCTTCGGCCAGCACTGCTACTATCCTTACTCTTTCTTTCATTTCTCCATAGTCTATACAACCACTGAGACTGTGGTGGTAAATACAATGAAACAAATTTATTCAAAAGGGAATATGGGTATGGAGGAAATGGGGACAGTGGGGGAATGAACACAGATGTAATTATTGATCCTGGTGGAAGAGGGATTGAAAGAGATCAGTGCCTGTTCATTCTTGCATTTATTATTTTAGGTCATAAAATTAAATTTTTATCTCTGTTTAACAGATTCCACTAAGCATATTGATCCACTAACCCAGTTTTCTGAACTGGGGATGTGATTTATAGGATTTAACAGGATAGATGTTAATTAATTAATTTTTAAATGGACCTTAGTTGCACAGAATTGTGTTAATCATAATGCTTGGTTTGTAGACAAATTATCTTCATTGGTCCATGCAAGATCCTCTTTTATGTTTGTAGGTATGGTACATATGTGTATTATTAATATAAAGAACATCCATAAACTCACAACTTAATCAAGAACTAGACTATTTCTAGTTATTTACACCTATACATTTATTCATCCTTATTCTGTTCTTCTAGCTCCCACTTACAAGTAAACACTACCCTGGATTTTTTGTCATTCATTTTCTCTCTCTCTTTCTTTGTAGCAACAGCTTTATTGGGATACAATTCATATACCAAAAAAATGCATCCACTTAAAGCATATAATTAATTTTTTTTAGTGTATTCACATACTGGTACAATCATCACTACAATCAATTTTAGAATATTTTCATCATCCCCAAACTAATCCTGTGCCCTTTGCAGTCCTCCCCATGCTCCTCATCCCCTGCAGCTCCAGGCATCCACAAATCTACTTTCTGTTTCTATATATATTTCTATGCTAGCCATTTCACTTAAATGGAATCATCATGTTGATAATGACTTTTGTGACTGGCTTCTTTAACTCAGCATAATGTTCTAAGGCTCACAATGTTGTAGCATGTACTAGTGTTTCATTCTTATTTATTGCCAAATAATATTCCACTGTGTGGTTATACCACATTTTATTTTTCTATTCACCAGTTGATGGGCATTTGGATTGTTTCCTCTTTTTTTGCTATTATGAATAATGGTGCTACGAACATCCATGTACAAGTGTTTTTGCAGACATGTGTTTATATTTCTCTTGGGGATATATTTAGGAAGTAGAATTGCTGGGTCATATGATAACTTTATGTGTACAATTTTGAGGAACTGCCAGATAATTTTCTAAACTGGCTACACCATTTTACATTTCTATTAACCATCAATGAGGGTTCCATTTAATTTTTTACAATTTTGTCAATTCTTGTTATTATCTTTTAAAATTATAGACACTTTAGTGGGTGTTAAATGGTATCTCATTGTGGTTTTGATTTCCATTTCCCTGATAACTGATGATGCTGAACATCTTTAGTGCTCATTGGCCATATGTATGTCTTTTGGGGGAAATGTCTTTTCAGGTCCCTCACCCATTTTTAAATTGGGTTCTTTGTCTTTTTATTACTGAGTTATAAGAGTTCTTTATATATCTAGACACAAGTCTTTTATAAGATATATAAGTTGCATATATTTTCTCCTATTCATTAGTTTGTCTTTTTACTTTCTTGATGGTATCCTTTGAAGCATGAGTTTTTAATTTTGATGAAATTCATTTTATTTATTTCTCTGATTGCTAGTGCTCTTGTTTTCACACTTAAAAAAATCATTGCTATATCCAAGGTCATGGAAATTTATGCTTATGTTTTCTTCTAAGAATTTTATCATTTTTGCTCTTACATGTAGGTATTTGAACCATTTTGAGTTAGTTTTTGTATATTGTGTGGTCCCACTTCATTCATTTGGATGTGGATATCCAATTGTCCTAGCAGTATTTGTTGAAAATTGTTTACTCATTGAATTATTTTTGCATACTTGTCAAAAATTGATCATAAATATGAGGGTTTATTTCTGGAACCTAAATTTCATGCCACTGATTTATAGTATATTCTTACTCAATTATCACAGTTTTTATTCTATTGCTCTCTTAAGTTAGTTTGTGAGTAGTTTTTGTTTGCAATGATACAATATCCTTTAGAGATTAAAAAATTATATAAAGGTATATACATAACTTCTTCAGAGTTTAGTGTTTTTAGTCAACATTTTTTACTAAAATTTATCAACGTCATAGGTAGAAATAATTTAGTGATTTCACTGCTCTGTAATATTTTGTTATTGAATATACCATACTTCCTTTATCCAGCACCCTTTCTATAGGCATATGGGTCATTTCTTGCTTTTATGTCTCCTATTTGTACAGTGTTTCTGTGAAAGTTCTTGTACCTCTCTACTAAATCCACATGAGTAAAGGTTTCTCTGGGTGTATACTCAGGGGTGGAATTGCTTCATCCTGGGTATGCCCAAATATTACTCCCCTATACAAAATGTATTAGGAATCCTATTAGTCACCACCTTTTTAGAGTTGGTATTGTTAGACTTTGTGAGTTTGTCAGTTAAAAATGTTGATTTGTATTTCCTTGACTAATAAGATGGAACATCTCTTTATATGTTTATTGCCCATATGCATTTTCTCCTCCTCCTTAAAATACCTTTCATGGTTTTCATGTTTTAAATTTTAAATTAGGTTATTTAAGCTCTTACTGATTGGTAAGATTTTTTTCATATAACTTGCTACTAACCCTTTGGTAATCATAAGTGTTGTAAATATCTTATCCCCAATTTGAGCTTCCTTCTCACTTTTTAAAGGTGTTTTTGATAATGACAAATAAAGTTTTTTTAAAAATGGAGGTATAATTGACATTTTATTAGTTTCAGGTGTACAACATAATGACTTGATATTTGTGAAATGATCACCACAGTAAGTCTAGTTAACATCTTTCACCATACATTGTTACAGCATTTTTTGTTCTTGTTATGAGAACCTTTAAAATCTGTACTCTTGAGAACCTTCAAATATTCAATACAGTATTATTAACTGTAGTTGCCATGATGTACATTACAAACCCATGACTTACTTATTTTATAAGTGGAAGTTTGTATCTTTTGCCTCTCTTCACCAATTTCACACCACAACCCCCTCCCCCAACTCCTACCT